ACCCTGAAGAAATTGAGCGCTGAAATATGGCCCCCCTACCCCTGCTATTATATGTGTGTGACTTTTGTTCTAATTACGTGGACACTTCAAGAAAAGCACACGATAAGGCTTCCATTTAGTTCTAAGTCTGTCCAAGGAAATTTGGTAGGTCCCTCCCTTCTTTGTGAGCTGTAGGGTTCGTATGGCAACAGAGAGATTTTCTTCCTTTAAAACAAAACAAAACAAACAAACAAACAAACAAACAAACTGGGGACAGAAAATAAAACGAGAGCCAATTCCTTCCCCCTTAAAATAAACAGTTTTAATAATATTGTTCCAGGCAGACAGGGATCAAAAAAATCCATTAAGCAGGAGAGTGGCTTTTGCCATAGGAAAAGCGCTGGCACTTGTCCCCTTCTTGTCACTGCCTCTCCTGCCCTCCTGAAGGGTAACCTTTAAAAGACACACTGCCATGTGGTACTTAAACCTCTGGCATTTACCTTCGTTTCTGCCTGGCTTTCATTCCAAGCAATGGCGAGGAGGGTTTTCTAATGTGATAAACAGGCGGTGGGAAAAGGGAGAGAGAGAGTGAAGCACTGCTTCTTGTGGCTTGACAGTTCCCTTTCCTCTGTGTCGGGATGCTCGCTTCCTCGGTTAGCGCTCAGCAAATGAAATCCCTGCTTGCGTGCACCCTCATCGTGTGGCTTTCAGATATCCTTGTCCCAAGCCGCTGGGCAAGGCGGGCTTCTGTCTGAACCGGAGAGGGTGGGGGGAAGCAGTGGGATATGAGTTTCTGTGGATGGTATTTGGACAGCTTTAGAACACTGAAAAAGGAAAGGAAAGAACAGCTCCTGACTAACAAAACAGAAGGATTTCATTGTTTAAGAAATAGGCAGACTGGTACAGTGGGAGGGTCATAGTCTCTTGGCAGCTAGCCCAAAGCTGTTAGATCCAAATTTCACCTATAATTAAAGGATAAAATTACCAGCATCACTTTTCAGGGCTACTGTATTGGGGATAGCTCAGTTGGTAGAGTATGAGACTCTTAATCTCAGGGTCAGGGGTTTGAGCCCCACGTTGGGCTAAAGATTCCTGCATTTCAGGGGGTTGGACTAGATGGCTGTCGTGGTCCCTTCCAACTCCACAATTCTATGATTCTATGTGATAAAGTCTATGGAACACACACACACACATACATACATACACACAGAGAGCGATTGTTCCTTGGACCCTGAGAGACGTTATTGGAGAGAAAGCTTTCCATCCCCTCTTTCTCTCAGCAGCTGCCAGCAACCTCAGAAGAAACATCTCCAGAGGATCAGGGGGCCCTCCTGAAAAAGTTTCACACCTCTAGCCATGAGAACGCTGATGGAGAGCAATAGTGGATGGTGTCAAGGCAGCAGGAAGGTTGGTGTGGTGCAAATGCACCAGCAGATCAAAGCTGGCAATCCTGGTGGTGCGTTTTCACCGTGCTGACCTCCACACTGCTACACCTTTCCCACTCTTCTTGCTGGTGAGCAGCATTGTCTCAGAATGCCACTGCGCCACCATGCCATCTGCTGTTGCTGAACTGCAACTCTGAATTCCAAAGGAGGAAGACTCCTATCCAAGTAGCTGAATGGGTGGCTGAACTGGACCTGGGAATTATTAAATAACACAGAGGAGACAAGATGAACTAGGATATAAAGATGAACAACAGCATATAAACACACTCTAAGAGGAAACTGATACTTTTTCAGGCAATCAAGATCTTCCCATGAATGTTCTTCCAGATCTTCCAAAGCACCTTTCATGCAATTTGTGTAAAATAGTGATATTTGGACTACTGTGTGAATGGCAGCTCTATCAAAATCCATGCTTGAAATGGTTGTCTGCTTGCTTGCCCAGATAGCAGCTCATTGTGTACCCTGAAGGAGGGTAGAGTGGGAATATGTTTGGTGTGGTATATGTATTTTTGTTACCCAGTAAGCATGTATTTACTTGGCAGGAGAACTGTGTTGCAAAATTTGGAGTGAACATTTGGAAAGGTGGCTGCATTTCAGTTCGTGTATCATTTTTGGAAAGGATCAATTAGGTGAGTTCATATTTTAATTGCAAACTGAATTGTATGCCACCGCCCTCTATCCCTACTGATTATGCATGAGTAGCTCAAATATAAACTGGTGCTTGACCCAATAGGCGATTGAGCAAAGCTAAGTTGGGTCAGAAGTACCTAATTCAATCCATTTCAAATGGACTCTTCCTCCATCCCTAGTCTCAAGACAAGCTTGACTGTCAGCAGATCAGAACTCCAAACTTCTCTTTCCTTCTGCCCAACCACCCAGCTATTGCAAAGGCCCCCTCAGTGAGTCTCAACCAAAGAACAAGGGTAGTATACTTATCTCTCTCTGCACTCAGCTCTCTAAAATGTGGGTTAAACAAAAAAAAATCAAAGGGCTAAACTGCTCTGCTGGCAGCTCAGAAGAACTCAAAGTTCTCAAGTTGCTGAGAAACATAACTAGGTATGACACTTGTACTGAAGACAAAAAAAGTACAAAAAGAGAGAACATGGCAAGCAAGGATTAAAAGACCTGGCATATAAAAATAAAGATGTCAACCCTCACACCTTATTTATCAGAGATAAATAACTGCTGACTACTTTCCACATAGCAAAAGGCTTTAATCTTCATTCGAGCGTCATGGCAAAATTAAGGAAAAGATGCAACTAAGGAAGAAGATGAGAGAAAGGTTATCCACATGCCTTATACTTTGGGAATTCTTATGCTCTGGGATAGCCAATGTTGCTTGATAAGTTAAAGCAAACTTCAAGATCTGTTTTGGCAAGTTGAAATGACAAGTCATCACCATGGCCTCTTTCCCTCCATGGGAATGGGCCAGGAAACATCCCTGAGTCTCGCCCGCCAATATTGACCCTTCAGTCAGCATCTGAAACGGAACAAAATGGGTGTTAAGATTACAAGGACATATCTGAAGGAAAAGAAAAGGGTGGGGCACAGCAGCCCAAGGTGGCTGGTTGAATCATGCTGAATCGTGCTCTACCAAACTGAGTATCTGTCAGCAACAGTGCTACTGCCATTCAGATTTGGGTTCCTACCTGGAAAAGTTGTGAAATGGAAGGAGAAACAGAAGTATGTGCTGTTGGCCACTCCCCACAAATCCTTACATATTCAGACTTGCTGGTTTTGTGGCATCAGTATTGGTACTACTGAGCAGCAGCTTGTGAAGACACCTGTGGGCCATACTACTTCAGATTGTAGGTGGGGGAGTCCATGGACGGGATTCATCTAACTGGATCAGTCAGCAAAAGCCCTGTGCAATGACTTCTGCTTGTGCAGCAGGGCTTTGCTTCCCATCAAATGCCTCTTGAAATTGGCTGTGTGTGTGTGTGTGTGTGAGAGAGAGAGAGAGAGAGAGAGAGAGAGAGAGAGAGAGAGAGAAAGAAATGTCATTCCATTTGGCAAGTTGGAACGCTTGTGCAGGCAGAACTGGAAGAGCATTATGTCAAAGTGCAAGGCAAGAGGTAAGGGGGACAAATTTTGGTGTCGCCCAGGGCGCTGCTGGAATTTGAGACCCCAAGGCTTGCTACTGTTGATGTTGAATTCCATCCTGTGATTGATTCCCTGTAGAGAAACCAGTCTCTACACATAGCAAACTAAGCCCAAGAGTCCTTGACTCTCCTTTCCCCTAACTTGCTAGTTGTGTGTGCAAGAATTTCTTTTCTTTCTTTTTTTAAAAAAGGGGACACGTTGAACCATGCAGTTCAATACTGGTGGTTTGAACTGGGCCTGAGAAAGAGAAAGGAGCATGTCAGGGTTGCCAGATTATCTGTTTGGAGCCCTCATACTAGAGCCTCACATAGTTTAGGATTTTGTTTGGAATTCTTGAAATGGTGCAAGGGAAGAGATACTCCAGCCATCACCTCCTCCTGTATCCATCCTTTTTCCTCAGAGCAACACTGCGCTTTGGAAGCAGCCCATCGACTAACATTCTCTAGCAACTTCCCCTTCTTAATTCAGGCATCAGTGACCATATCAGTGAGTAAATCTAATGCAAAGCAGGGTGCCTTTGTCCTTATAGGAATGGACGAACCTGTTGATTCCTCATTTCTTCCACTCTTAAATTCTGCTCTAAATTTCCACATCAGTTTGTGATTTATTTATTTTTATGTCCACACGAAAATTCATCAACATTTTGGTTTGGATTGATCCTCATATATACAATTCTGATGCAGTGTTCCTCAATATGCACATTTTTGCAGAATGAACTTCCAAGATGTATGTACTTTTGCATGTTACTTTAAACTAAAAATATGCATTTCTATGACTTGGCTAGAGAAGAACATTGCAAAATTTGGAGAAGTGCAAATTTCAAACAATTCCTCAGCTTCTGTTTGCTGGTTGCTTTGTAAAGTGCAGATTAGGCAGGTTTGCCTTTAAATGCAAACGGAATCCAATTTCTGCACCCGATTTCTATGTCCCTGCCTCTGCTGTCTTCTCCCCTCACCCACTCCTCTCTCTCTCTTGCAAACAGCGACAATGAAAACCCTCAGCCTCTTCCGCTTCCACTTCACTTCCTTGGCAGCACTGCCAGAGGAGAGAAGCTGACCATAATCTGCTTTGACAAACTAAGGAAGAGAGAGAAAGAAAGAGGGAAAGAAGCCTCTGCCTTCAGAGAAAGGAAATCCTTGACTGGAATTCTCCTTTGCACAAGAAATCATCCCCAACTGGCCAGCAGAAGGAAAACGGGCTGCCCACCAAATTCCTCTCCAGCTTGAGGCTTGCTGGCCGCACATAAGGAACTGCTATGGTTTCCTCCAAGTTAGTGCTGCCCTGTGCAAGCTTCGGTCCTGATATATTTGCACACCAGAGTTGCAAAGCAGTTCGTACACTGTATGGAGGTTCTTAATTCCCATACATATACACTAATTCTGAAAGTTCCGCATGGCATTGGAGCCATGTGGTTCTTGTAGTGAACAACTAAACTTGCCAGGCACTTGTTACACAGAAAGGTCTCCACGTGAAGGACTGTAGCTCAGTGGTAAAGCATCTGTCTTGAGTACAGAAGGTCCAGCTTCAACCCCCAACATCTCCAGGAAGGGCTGGGAGAGAATCCAGTCTGAAATCCTGGAGAGTCACTGAGAGTCAGTTTAGACAATACTGAGCTACTTGAGTCTGACGCAGGGTATGATAGCTTCCTTGGGACATGGGTGGCGCTGTGGTCTAAACCACCGAGCCTAGGGCTTGCCGATCGGAAGGTCGGCGGTTCGAATCCCCGCGACGGAGTGAGCTCCCGTTGCTCTGTCCCAGCTCCTGCCAGGGGTCCTTTACCTGTTTCAAACCTTTACCTATGATAGCTTCCTATCTGATTTACAGCATATTAAAAAACTTAAGCCTAGGTAAAAGTACATAGACACATGCACACAAACACACAAACACTTCATGATAAATACATAGCATAGATACCCTCCCCTGCCCTAACAGCAGCAGAAAGGTTTAGCAGCACACTAACCACCAAAAGCGTGGGGAAAGGTAAGTCTTTACTTGGTAATTTTTAATCCATACCTATAGGATGTTTGAACTGATACATTTGATCAGAGTTTCATTTAGATGCAAGTTTTTCCATGGCTTTTCATCTCCAGGCATTGGTTTGAGGAGCAAAGCAAAAAATAAGTTTGAATAAGGCAATAAAAGAAAATCCTTATTAGCAACACTTACACTAGGCTTCCTCAAACTCGGCCATCCAGATGTTTTTGACCTACAATTCCCATGATCCTTACCTAGCAGGACCAGTGGTCAGGGATGATGGGAATTGTAGTCTCAAAACATCTGGAGGGCCGAATATGAGGAAGCCTGACTTACATTGTATAGGTGAAACTTCATGCTAGTCATACTCAGAGTAGATCCATTGAGATCAATGGGTTTAAGTAACTTTATTAATTTCAACGGGTCTTCTCCGATGACTAATGTTGAATGCCATCCTATGTGTCTCCTTCCCTCCCTCTCCATCAATACTGATTTTAAAGTGTCCAGAAAAGCGGTAGCAATTCTGAGGTGTTATGGATTTTTGCAGCTTACGGTAGAAATGGGTGATTATTTCACAAACACTGAAGTGACTAGGTGGCTAATGTTTCTATATCTGAAGAGTCTGACCTTGTCCTTCTGGTAAGCTGGGATTTACCTGTGCCTATGGAAGTTAAAAAGTTGGTTGGAAGAGTTTGTATTAGTCTGCCAATGATAAAACAAGAGTCAGTCTATGTGCAAACAGTGATAATAACATTCAACAGTAGTTTTTCATCCACCTGGAGCGGATTGAAAGTACATTTTTAGGGACAGAAATAAGAACTAGGGATAGATGGATGGATTAGCCTAGTTTCATTCTATGTTTATGTCATATGCACTCAATCACAAGCCTATTCTGTCTCATTTCCAGCACTTAAAAAATCTCCAGGGAAAATGTTGCATTTAAATTGTACTCCTTTTTGCATTCACTTCCCCATAAAACACACATTTTGTATGCTTCTCCGTGTATCCCTTCCTGCAATATGCATTCGTTTACATTTCCCCATAAATACATTTCACATACATTTCCCCTGTAAGATACACATTTTTGTCCACATTTTTGAACTGAAACTTGAGCAGAAAATTCAGAAGTGCTCAGTCTGATTGTTAATCATGTTTCTGATCAGCATATAAGCTTGGGAGCTGCAAACCAGGTCTGTCCACTTTAAAAAATTCTCCTTCATCCCTAATACTGCTCCCTCATGTTTCAATGAGGTCTGGTGTTTCAAAATTTCAAAGAATTAAGGGGTGCTGGGAGGCTATGAATCTCTGTCTCGTGGAGCTTTGTGCTAACTACTGCAAAACGAAAGAAAGGGGCATCTATTATGTTTTGTGGGTTGGAATAAGCAGCACTAAAGCTTTAAAAATAAAAAAGTTATTTAAGGATCGCCGTTAAAGGTCCTTCACTTCTAGTCAGCTGCTTTAAAAAAGCTGTGAAGATTAAAGGCACAAGTAAATTCTAAGCATGTATATTAATCTCAGGTTTATGGTGCCCAAGGAATGAGTCTGCCCCATAGAAAGTGCTGCAGAAAGAAGCCAAAGAAGGAAGTGGCTGGGATCCTGCCCTCTGATGTGACTGTCTCATCTGGCCTGATGTGCCTCCAGTACTGTTTAGGGTGGCAGCCTGAAGACAGGGGAGGTGGAGAAGCAAGCCAGAAACTACCACCTTTTGTGGACCAGTGGTGGCAGAAATCTTCTGGGCGACAGTTGCAGTGGAGGAAGAGAAGAGATGAAGGTGGAAGACAGGTGGTGGGAGGCAGACAGTGGAAGAAGAAACCTGCCTCGCTTTACTGCACGATTAGCAGGGAATTGGCAGAGCGGGAGAGACAAAGGCGGAAGGGAGGCGGAGACAGAAAGAGAGATGGAGGAAGAACAAAAAGGCTAGGATGGAGCTGGAGTGCAGCTTCAGCTTCTGCCTGCATCTCTCTCGCTCTGCCTGCCTCCTTCTCCCTTCAGCCTTTGCCTCTCTCCCACTGCAGATTCTCCACTGGCCTTGCAGACGAAGGAGCTGGGTTACTTTTTCCTCTGTTTGCCTTCTGCCTCCCTTCCGCCTTCATCTCTCCTCCTCCTCCGTTGTAGCCAACATACCAAAGGCTGCAGCTGCCACCACCAGAGCCAACCATGTGTAACTGAAATCATGCAAGTTAAATGTGCATTTGATGCTACTACATTCTATAGATATGTCCGCTTTCAGCAATCCAAACAAAAAGCTCTGAGCAAATAATTTATGGAATCTGTCAGCAAGCCTGCCAGTGTACCCACTATTTGAAAGGATACATTAATTAACTGCTTCAAATACTTAGGATGTTCAAATTGCTCAGAAACCACAACTAGAGCTAGAGCCTGATGGTTTCAGGTGTGCACAAGATACACCTTTTGTTTTGCTGGTTGGATAACTTGTTCAAATGAGAGTGAAGTGTATTTCCAAGCAAACTGTGAGTTTTAAATTCGGAATTAATTTTGCAAATGCCATCATTATCAATTTACAGCTTCCAGATTGTTGAAAATATCACATTAAAGAAAATGCTTGTTTTGAGTTGGGGCAGACATCTATAGTCTCTCCTACATATGGTACATGTCTTTCATGCATGCCTACGGATGATCTGGATTTTTTCAGTGCCTACTAGTTATTTCAGAATGTTAACATCTACCTTCCTTGATTGCTTTCTCAAACATCATTGATTTCCATCTGCCTTTTTGGCAAAGTACAACAAGAGTACCAGTTATTGCCAGCAGCTCTTATTGCCAGCAAATGTTCTGCTCCTAAGATTGTGCACTGTCACGGATATAAAAGCAGACAAAAGATGGAACAGCGGCTTTTAGTTCCATGCTACAGTAAGACGAAGTAACAGATAGCTTACAAAAGCCCATGCTTGTTCTGCAAAATCATTTCAGTGAGCCTTAAAAGTCTAATCTTATTTAATAACTTTTCCACACTTCTGCTTCTGCAGATTTCAGTGGGGATGGGTAAATCCATCCAGTTCAGTATTCTTCTGGGGTAGTTTGTCCACCTTTGGTCCCCACCCTGCACTCAACTTTCACCTGCGGCTCCTAGGGGCTGTCATCATGTGACAGCAGCCACATCCCGAGAAACGGCTTCAACTGGCCAGCTAAACCAGATGAAGGTAGCCAATGGTTCTCATACCTTTGGTGTGTTAGGGACCTCCCCTGCATGTGAAGACAGGCTCTGGTGGATGGAGCAGACAAGACCAATAGTGGGTTCAACGTTCAAGAAGGCAAGTGCTGTAGGGGCAAGTGAGGGGCAGATGGGGCTTGTCAACCTGTGAAGGTAGCTCATCTAGGAGAAGGAAAACTCTGATCCTAAACCTCTGCTGCCTTGCAGGACATATTCGGGAGATGAAAAGGAGTAAACCTTACACAAATCTGGAGTGGAGTCCCTAAGGCGGTTGGATGACACCTTGTACACCTCCTTCCAGCAACTTCTGCAGCCAAGCTGGTGCCAAACGTATTGCTCTTCTTTCCTTTGGACCACATAATTGAAGATGAGAAGGGGACCTCATCATCTGGGCAGCCCAGGACCTCCATACACACTCCCCAGGCTTGCGCCCTGGAGAGATCACTTTGGTTCTGCTAATGCAGTAGTTTGATTTCACCCCAGAGGAGCACTCCATTGTCTCTCAAAGGCCAACAAAGACCTTACTGGAGGAGACAGGAAAGGAGATGGGGTCTACTGCTTTAATTCTAGTGGTGGGGCAGTGCTATAGCACCACCCCTCTTAGCACTGGCATCTCTGCTGCTTACCTGGATGAGGGTGGGGCATGCAGCAGCAGGTGGGCTGTGTGAATGCATCAGTGGCAGCAGTGCTGCCATTCTGTGTTGCATACCTTTCCCCTGGTTCTCTGTACATGTCTGCGCATGTATATATTTATCTATATCTATCTATTGCATGCCATGTATGATTAGCTGCGAAACATGTTGCTGGAAAAGCAGAAGGAAGCTCTTTTGTTTGCAGCTCATAATTTCCATGGAACTGCCTGATCAGCCCCCCCCCTTGCCGCCTCCTTTTAACCTCCAAGACACTCTGCAGTCTATCTCTTTAGTCAGGTTTTTCCTAAAGGGGCAGATTAAAATGGGAATGGGGCTTTCTTCCTTTTGCAAAAGAAGGAAGTCCTGTTGGATTATGGCTCGCCTGCTGCTTCGGATGGCTTATGGCCCAGAGATTTAAATTTTAAATATACCTAGGCAAATTACGTGGCTGCATCATATAAGCAGGGAAGGAAGTAAATAAAACATCCGCCCCCACTGGAAACTGTGGTTACGAAAGCATTTTGCGAATGCACATTCTAAATGACGAAGATTACCGGTAGTGGGATTAAAATACGTAACCAACCACCATGCATTAGAAGCCAGCTTTGCAGGACTGAAGATTTGCCACAGAACTATAGGATCGCTGCAGTGATTATTTTACCTGTTCTGGAAGTAAAAGCCTGGGCAGCTGCAACAATTCAGAGGCCGGAGACAGACAACCATCCTTCCTCTTCTTTTAGAGGGCTGAAGGCATCTTTGCCCATG